GCCACAGGTAGACTGCTAGCCCCCCAGGCATTCACACCTGTACAAAATAAGCCCCTCCCTCACCTGGAATTTACCACCCGGTAAAACATCTCTGCCTTTAAAATCTTTTTCTCAAGAACCATGGGGCCAGAAAAGCTGAAACTTTTGTGGAAGCATCCTTGGGTATTATAGATTGTTAATAATTAAAATCATGAGCTGGAGTGGGGGTGGGGGTTTAGGGCGGGGCCATAATTGGTATTACAAGGGGGAAATCTGGCAAAGAAAGGCATCCCAAAGTTACTCAGGTTAGCCCATGGGCCTCTTGTTTAGTTCCCATTTCTAATGCATATAAAAATCAGAATTTTTGCGGGTTTTCTTTCTTTCAAAGTGGTATCTTCTGAAATAAAACTGATCAAAGTTATTGATTCAATCATTTTATTGCTTGAGGAACTAAAAGCCATTCGATTTTATTCGATTACACGTCATTTAGATCCTCCTTTGGTATCCGATATCTCTGACATAAGACGAGTGGAACATGACGAAGTCAGAGTGCAGTGCAACGTCACCAAAGGAAATCCGTCCTCAACAAATATCTTCTGGACCAAAGAAGGAATTTACGGCGTCCAACAGTACGGCTATACGCTTGTGTTGAATAACATTAGGAGAGGTCAAAATGGAACATATAACTGTGTCGCAGAAAATTCGTATTCAGGGGGAGGAAAAGGCAGAGGAGAAAAATCATTCCTTGTGGATGTTTTGTGTACGTCTAATTTATTTATCCTTCTTAACCTTGAATGTCACTCTTTTCATAGAAAATTTCATTCGATTGCCGAAATTACCTTGCTATTTGATTTTTTCAGGTGTAAAAAAAAGTATGAAGCAAAAAATGAAATAAACTTACCGAAAAAGCAATGCATTTATTAGGTCACCTGAGTAAACTCAGGTGACCTATTGCTATCCGTTTTCGTCCGTCGTCGTGCGTCGTGCGTGAACATTTGAAAATTTTCAGCTTCTTCTCTGCAACCACTCAACCAATTTCAACCAATTTTGGCACATAGCATCTATGGGTAAAGGGAAACAAACATTGTGAATTTCATGGTCCCTGTCCCCCTAGGGCCTGAGGGGTGGGCAAAAACCTGTTAAATTAATGAAATTTGAAAAAAATCTTCTTCTTTACTCCTGGACATCAAGCAGTCAAACTGTTTGCATGATGTAATCAGCATTGAGTCCTCTACCAAAATTATGAAATTCATGGTCCCAGGGTCAGGGGTTCTAGTGCTAGGGCGGGGCTAAATGTATTATATAGTGAAAATGCATAAATTCTTTGAGAATCTTCTTCTCTGCTCCTGGGCATGAAATAAACTAACCAAGTACATAGCTGTGTTGAATAAGGTGGCCTCTACCAAAATTGTGAAATTCATGGCCCCTGGGTCAGGGGTTCTAGTGCTAGGGCGGGGCTTTATTGATTAGAAAGTGAAAATACATTAATTCTTTAAAAATCTTCTTCTCTACTCCTGGGCATTAAATAAACTAACCAAGTCCATAGTTATGTTGAATAAGACTGCCTCTTCCCAATTTGTGAATTTCAGGGCCCCTGGGTCAGGGGTTCTTGTTTTAGGGTGGGGCTCTAATGATTATATAGTGAAATGCATGAATTCTTTGAACATCTTATTCTTTGCTCCTGGTTAGTATTCCAATGATGTAATTACATATTTAAGGCCAGGATTTATTTTATTTTCAGGTTTACAAACCCACCGCTCAAGGGTTTGAATTTTCAGAAAAAAAAAAAAAAACATTTTTTTCTTTCTGATGTCAAATTTGAGTGGGGATCGAGATTTCATATTTACGAACTCGTACTTCCGGTTTTAAGATCGAACTTGGCGGGTAATCAAGCTAGATCTGCAAAGATAGCTTGGTTTATTGTAAAATTCATCTATAAGAGTGCCATTCAAAACGTTTCACCCGTTCAAAGGACAAATAAAATGCTGACGACTTTGTTGCACAGTGACATGCTGGTGAGATAATTATGTTATACATTCGAATTCGTTTCAATCAAAAGTATGTCTGTGAATTATTTTCCTCCCCACAGGTTTAAAAGTGCCCGTGGTAGCTATTGCCACCGATATTGCTTAGGTCTATGTTATAGCTTACAGTCTAAGCATCATTCTTAAGCATCAGATGTAATGAATAAAATCATGGGAGATGAGGAAGAAATAAACAAAACCCTGAAGAAATAAAAAAAAAAATTCAACTATTAAAAAGAAAGTATATACAAATATATACAGGCATGTAGTATCGGTTGTGGCAGCCAGAAAAATTATTTTACACTTAATTGAAAAAATGTTCACCCTACTCCGCAATATTCCCTGTCTGTTTTATGATAGGAATTATAATTTTAGGCATCAAGTATATTTTAGAACAATGTCTATTGTCTACACATTCACCTAACACATATTTAAAAAATGAAGATATATTGAAAGAGTTTTAAAGAATTGATTTGCTAAAATATATTTTGATCAGTGATGAAATAAGCAATTAAATGTTCTACTTTCCTATTTGTAAGCATTATGTGTCCAGTGGTAAGGAGCTTGTTAGGATAGCATAAAGAAGAATATACAAATGTTAATAATTGATTTATCCAAAAAAAAATTTTTTTTTATTTCCTTCTCTTTCGGGACTTTTTCATGAATGATGTTCGTAACTAATCCTAAAAATAAAAAAAAATGCTGGCCTTATGTTGAAGAAAGGGGCCTCTTTCAAAATAGATATTTTCAGGGCTGCTGGGTCAAGGGTTACGGGGGGGGGGTTACTTTGACTAAAAGTAAATTAAGGCTTTGAAATCTGCTCTTGCAATGGTGCCTCTTTCAAAATTTATGACCTTCATGGCTTTGGGATTAAATCACGAACCAAATACAATCACTGGAAAGTTGTTACATGATACTCAGGTGACCTACAAGGCCCATGGGCCTCTTGTATATGTATATGATTTTAAAGATTTTTTTTTAAATATAAAAATTAAACCTTGTTTTACCTAAAAAAAAATATTAGTTTTGCTGAAACTATTGATTATGAACACTGAATTTTCCATATAAGAGATGTATATCCTTTATCTAAAAAAATGAAAAGTGGTCCAACCTGGCAGTTTTAAGGTTTTCTCTTCAATCACTGAATAATCAAAATTTCTATAAATCATCTACATTTGCACTGAAGACAATATTTATTCTCTATAGATGGACCTACTCTTACTGGAGGGACAATGGCGGTCTCTGAGGGACAACGGGCCAGCATGACCGCCACGGTGACCAGTAACCCGCCCTCTAGAGTGTCTTGGTTCAGGGGCAGTGATCTACTTTATACTCAGAGTTCTGTAAATGGGTATTCGACTTACACCTTATCCTCGGCTCAGTGTACTGATACGGTGCAATTCAGGGTAGTTGCTAGCAATGGGATCCAAAATAACTCCTCAACAACTGTATACCTCTATGTCTACTGTATGTACTAATAGTGCTTTTAATGAAATTGAGACCAATCTAGTGATTAATACAAGTTTCAGTGATAGATAATGTTCAAAATATTCTGCTTGCTTGCTATGTATCCCGAATCCTGATAAATACATTGGCCAAGATATTCAAGAACTTATCATCTGTTTTTGAACTTCATTTATAATGAGAAATCTTATTATATTCGCCAAAGTATCATGCATACACGAAAAACAAGCTAATTCAGAGAATGTATGTCCACGGTCGCTTAGAAAAAAGAAGAGAATGCGCGGATCTAGTCTTTTTTCCTAAGCGGGGGACACGGATTCTCTAAATTAGCTTGTTCTTTTAATTGTAGGTTCACCGCGTTTAAATTCCTCTGGGAGTTCGGTTTTCATTTCAATAGGAAACAACAAATACATGGACGGTCAGGTCACCATCTTATCGTATCCACAGCCGAACTACACTCTGACTCTCCCAAACGGTGCTCCAAATACTGACATCAGTCTCAGAATATCCACCATTACAACGAACATCTACCGCATCAAACTGCGCAAGTCAAATATTCAGCCAAAGGATCATGGGACATATAAAATGATTGTTTCAAACGCATACGGAACAAGAATACTAGATATTAATGTTCACCCTGAAAGTAAATTAATATTTACATTAAGTAACGTTTAAAAAAAATAAAACTGAAGAAACGCATCATAAATCAATTTAAGAGATGTTTTGAAAGAACATGGTCACATTTAAACTATAGTGTATATCAAACTCCATAACTAATCTTGTTTTTTAGGCAAACCTTTAAAAACAGATCAAGTATTTGTTTCTTGTGGAAACAGAAAAGCTTACATTACTTGGCAGTCCTCTTACTTTGGTTACGAAGCTCAAAATTCACTTGTTCAATACTCGACAAAACCTGACAGTGTAGCCTTTTTCAACGGCTCAGGCCTCACACCTGAAAGAATTGAACAAGAACTCTTACATGTCACAGTTTCCGGTCTACAAGACAATACAAAGTACTTCTTTAGAGTGGCCTCCATTAATAGATATGGCGTCTCTCTGTCATCAGTTGTCGACTGCACCACGGAAACTAAAAATGGTTATCATCATCCAGTTCTTTAAATTAATACTTGCACATGAAAAAGAGTAAATTTTCGATTAATAATTAAAAAAAATATCACTTTATTCAGTTGTTAAATTGTAGCATTTGACCTCTAAACATAAATACGAATTACTTTTTATCAATTCTAGAGGAAACGTGGACTGCAAGCGTCGCTACTGGAACTGTCTTGGGAATCTTGCTCGCTCTGAGCATTGCAGCATTGGCCTTTGTGTCTTATAATTACTTTCAAGGTATCACAGACAATTCAAACATTTTAAGGTTGAAGTACTTGTATTTCATTTATTTGATTAGTTTTTGACAACTAGGAAACTTGCTAAAATACTTTAAGAACAAGCAGGGAAAATATTTTTTATTTATACAAAATGGGTTTTTTTTTTGTAGAGAGAAAAGCCAAGAAAGCAAGGTTCGTAATTTTCAAGTGAGGTTTTTAGTTAACAAATGTTTTCATATAATTTAAATTAAAATTTTGTAATTTTTGGGCACATTAAAACTTTAAACCAGTCTTCCTTTCAGGTCAGGACCATATGATGCAATTGAAAAGGGAAAAACCGAAGACATCAACTTGTATGAAAAATACACGTATCAAAACAGAGAGAATGGAAATCCTGGTATGTAAACTAAATTGAATAATCTCTTAGATTTATTTTTGAATCTTTGAAATATCCAATTAACGTTTTTTTTAAATTTTTTTTTTAGATACAGAATGGCCGTCAGAATTATCAATCAATAATTTGTACTCTTCAGAACCTCAACAAAAAGATCAAGTCGTAGAAAGGATTTATGAAAACACAAGTCTAGTTAAGTCCTCGAAAGACAAATTAAAACCAGAGATAAAACCAAAGCCCAAGAAGTTACCGAAACCGATTACTTAATATTTCTTTGTAATATATTTCAAAAAATAATTGCATCTTTTTTTTATCCTTACTGTCATGTTTATAATTTTAATATTTTAAGAAATAGATGCTGTGATTGATTGTCGTATATTGTCATTTTTTAACACAGAGCATGAGAGAAATTTCAAAGCATGAATATAAATGAATGATGTTCTGTATATTTATTCACACAGATTATGAAATTTTTCATAACAAATAATGTAATATCTATAATTTTTAATTTAGTTAATTACTTTTGCAAAGCACTTGTAATTTAATTAATCACATGTCTTATATAAAGACTTATTTCATTGAAGAAAAAATCAAATTACAGTGAAATAGTGATTTATTTAATTCAATAATTTTAAAGTAATTGACCCATTCCCTAGACTGAATGTCCACTCCTATTCGTAAAATCTATCAAGAGGACTGAAAAGAAAGAATAAAACTCTTACTACAGGACAAGACAGAGTTCTAGACGTCGATTTGATGTCGAAGGATGTCAGCTATACTGCACGGACTTCAAACCATCAAACAAGATATGTTTCTTGTTTGAGACAACGGAAGCAAAGGATGAAGATTCTCAAATGCAAACTCCAAGGTCAAAATTGTTGGTATCAAGAGGGTCTTTTCATAAGGAACATACCTGTGAAATATAAAAATAAAAACCCTAGTACTGCATGAAACTGTTCAAAAGTTATGGCCAAGGTTTAAGACTTTAGTTCTACTGATCAGAGACCAGAAGACATTGTGCGATAGAAAGTGTCCGTCGTCCGTCCGTCTGTCTATAAAGAATTTTTCAAAATACTACTTCTCCTAGAGTTTTGGTCGGTTTTCAATAATTATACTTTGGCACTCAGATACTATACAAAGATACATAAGAACTGCGAACGATAGAATTGTTCTCCCGCCTATCTCAAAGTCAATTTTCAACCATACGTCTCTGTCGAGTCTGTAGCTCTACTGGTTTGTACTTATTATAAAGGAAAAGAAAAGTAGCAGTTTGGACTTAAAACTTTACAGAAGCAATAAATAGAATAATGATATGGATTAAGTCTCTTTTTACGGCGAGATTGCAATAAGACTAACTGTAGGAGTAGCTTTTAATAAAACTTTACAGAATTTTCAATTTTAGTTACAATGGCAACATAAATCATCAAAATCTAAAACACAAAACTTATAATTATGTATCTCAGTGTAGTCTACTTGCATTATTATATATAAATCATCATACTGTAGAAGTAGTTTTTTCAGCGTTGTATTTATTTACGCTATGTATGCAGTCACAAATTTTCGGCGGAAATTTGTCCCACATAATTCTGTTATTGCTGCCTGTTGCAAAGTTTCAAATCCAAATGCTACTTTTCCTTTGTTATACGTACAGACCAGCAGATCTACAGTTTCATCAGAGACTTCTGGTTTACAAATCGAGTCTAACTCTAAGGTCAGGGTAAAAAATATTAACCCAATTAAAAGGTCCTGTCACAATGAATAAGCTTGTGAAGTATGAACACCATAGCACCAACTGTTCAAAAAATATGGTCAATGTTAAAGGGTTTTTTGTAAAAGTAGGTCGAAGTCCAAATTCAAGAAGTCAAATAAACCAAAGAAAGGTCATGTTACAAGAAATACACCTGTGAAACATGAAAGCCATAGCTTAACCCGGTCAGAAGTTATGGGCAAGGTCAGAGTTCTTGCGGAACTTCTTGCGGTTCTCTACACAGAAAAAAGACAAATAGGGCAAATATCGATTACCGCCCGGGGGCATAAATACTCAAATAGAAGTATATTCTATGGTGTTTGTGCTGTGCAGGATATTATGGCATTTTCATACTATGAATTTCGAATAGGTGGAAGAACATTAAATACAAAATTTTAAAATATGACAAAATGACAATATTGTAAATTTATATTTTCTGCCGATCGGTAAATTCAAAATATGAAATTATTATTAAACAATGACGATCAAAAATTTACAGTGGATAATGTCCAGCATACCGCATTGCTGCTATCTGACATTTCGTAAAGAGGATCACCCTTGTCGTTTTCCCATATTGGAAATGTTCGTTTTAGTTAGAAACCATTGCAATGATTTTTTTTAAAATAATCACTGCAATCTGCAAAAAAGGGTTTTGAATAACCTGTATATACTTAACTTCAAAGGTAATATTAAAAATAAAGGGTTTATTTTTCCAGGGCATTTTGATACTAAAGAGCATGCTCTACATACATGTACAATCAATTCTTAAATGAAACAAATTTTTGAATCGAGTACTAGAAGTATTTCGAAGTGAAAAGGGGGAAAAAAGCTCTGCTTTTGCAATCCAAAGCATATATAAGCATTTCCCCTCGACGCTTGAGATGTGTTTTAGGTTTTGAACAGAAGGCAGAAAGCAAATACTTTTATCATTTTTTAAAAGAAATTTCAATAATTTCAAACTTAGAGTATGTCCAGATAAATTGAGATTTTTCTTCAGTGTTTCAAATGAAATGCAAGAAGATAACAAACATTATTCAAGAGTCCATTCAAACAATTTAAATCAGGAGCAGAGTAAACACGAACCTCTAAAATATAAGAGGTTGGATCAAATGCCATGGTGGAGTGAGCATCCCCTACTGCCCGGTCACACCCGCCCGTTCTCCATTAATAATATGAGAAAACGAAAAAGTAGACAATTCAATATGTAAATAATCATGGACTAACGATTGTATGAAAAACGCATTAGCATTTGACTCAATGAGAGGTTGTATTTGCTGACAAGGTCATTGTATCGAACATAACTTGCGAAATCATACCTTCAATCTAGACTCTGGTATCCTTGTTTTATCAACTTGTTTGTTTATAACTCGTCTCTTTATAGAAATGGTTTTTGAACATGCTTTGAGCATGCTTTTGTGCCTCGAATCAACTGAAACATAAACCCCATATGCAGGTGATAACAGTACATTGCTATATAAATAAGGGAAGCTGACGATTTAAAAGTTGGTCATCACGTTTATCATAAAGATTGGTTGTTAGGTTACATGTAACATCTCTTTCTAGTAAAAACTATATATAAAACTGATGTGTCAGACTCTGTGGTATCTTTTATTTCAAGCCCTCTGGAGTATATCGAGTCGACATATGAATGAAAGTGACTATCATTAATTGATAATACCTTGTCCATATATCTAAGTGTCGAGTTAAAGGCAACAGCAAGTGTTTCCTCCTTCTCATATAAAGAAGAAGTTTCTGAATACATGTATATTCATTTCATACGTCTGCTTACAACGGGACGCAACTGGTACCACATATTATTAGAAGACTTGATCTCCCAAAACTACATTAATACATTGTATTATCAATCAGAAACTGGAGCTTTTTTTTCAATCTTAGAGTACTTGTTGTAAAATCATAGTGTTTCTAACCAAATGATTTTTCAAATGACCAATGGCAAAATAATTAAGTTTACGACTTCTTCTTTTATTCAAATAATTTATTTAAATAAAAGAAGAACTGTATCGTTTGGAATAGTGGTAAAGCGTGTTGAAAAGTCGTACTTTTTTATGTTTCTGATTGGTAAAATTTTGTGATTCAAGTGTAAGAAGAACAAGAAAATTTGAGAAAGCAAATAGAGTGATCGATCGAAGGCGGACAAAGATAACAACTATATGCTTTCCTAAGAAAGTGTGGATATGACAATACTTGAGCACACATACAAAGGCCTTACAAAGATATTGCCGCTTGTTATTTTGTAAAATACTGTATACAGGGAAATTTAGCCCCCGTTTTATTTTTGCCCATTTTACCCTCTTCATGGTTTGTCGAATTTTAAACGGGGCGAATTCAAAGAACTCAGCATGACATTTTAAACGCAAAATTGTTCAAAAGTACAAAAGGGCGAAAATAACCCTGTATATTTCTTTACAGTGCATTGATGAATGATCTCATTTTTCCCTTTTAATAAAGAGGTTACACGTATACAAAGCGGATCATTTGAAGGATTATTTCATGATTAGAAAAAAAAATACTGATTAGAAACTAGAGGTACTGTGAGCAATGGGCTTACTAAATGATACCCCCGCCCCCGCCTCCCATATGAATATAATGGCAGTGTCCATGTTCTGTGTGTCGGATCAAAAAGTAAAATAGGAGGTCACAATGGCAATATGTAATAAAGATTCTGTGGAAGTCTCATCAAATTTCACTCAGTTGTATAAAATAAAAGGAGTTGCGGATACAGCTGTAAGAGATTGGTACCCCCAAAGCGTAACAGACAGACGGACGGACGTACAGCTGGACAGACATACCGATTATTATATACCCTTCCGCTTTTCGATCGGGGTGTAATAAGAGCTAAGTTATTTCTTTCCGGTTCTTTTCAGAGCATAAAATTATTTTCACCAACTTTATTTTAATATTTGTTCCTGTTCTGTTATTTGTGAGTTCAGTTTATTATTCTTAAGGAAGTATTTTATCAAAGTAGTAGTTCTGGAATGCAACAGTAGTTAATTATAATTAAGCAGATGACGGATAAGACTTACAAATCGAAAATGTATTGATAACGAGATATATTAAAAGGATACTACGAAAGCCCAGAAGGCTCATTCGAGATTCAAGTTTCGAAATACGAGATTCAAAATTCGAGATTCGAAATTCGAGTTTCGAGATTCAAGATCCAGATTAACCAATCAAAAGGCTCATTCGAGATTCGAGGTTCGAAATACGAGATTCGAGATTCGAGTTTCGAGATTCAAAATCCAGATTAACCAATCAAAAGCGGGTTCAACATTTGATTACTCCCCTTTATTATGTTTTATCTATCAATAAATCGTTTAATATATTTATAACAAATGAGTCATTTGATTAAATTACAATACAAGAAAGAGTATTATATATATATATAATAGAAGGAAAGTTAAATAATCATTGGATTTTTGATCAGCAAGATATACTTCAATTTATATTATGACTTCTTAAATATTAAATAGAATGCATATATCAGGAATATATATATTTTTGCATTGTCTACTTTATATAAATGGTTGTTGACATAATAATAAAGATATAAATAGTGACTAAAGATTCACAAAATCCCCACCCCTACCCGCCACACCTGCCACTTTTTCCCGACACTGAAAATGTTACTTTAAAAACTTGAAAGGCAATGTAGCCTTGATAAATAAAAACCGTGTTCGTTTTCCCATTAGAGGGAATACTCAGTACATAAAAATAAAGTTTTCAATTACTTATCTTCATCTAAGGCTTTGATTTCTTGAATTAATTAACAATTATATATATACAATACAGATTGCAAATATGAATGGGAATAAACGCAGCATTCATTTTATCTGATATCAAACAGCAGATTAGTCTAAATTAGCTGCAGAACTATAGCGTTATGGTTTTATATTTAAGTCTCTGACCATAGCGTTATGGTCAAAGATTAAAATATACTCGGTTTTTATTTACCAAGGCTACATTGCTTTTCAAGTTTTTAAAGTAACATTTTCAGTGTCGGGAAAAAGTGGCAGGTGTGGCGGGTAGGGGTGGGGATTTTGTGAATCTTTAGTCACTATTTATAACTTTATTATTATGTCAACAACCCTTTATATAAAGTAGACAATGCAAAAATATATATATTCCTGATATATGTATTCTATTTAATATTTAAGAAGTCATAATATAAATTGAAGTATATCTTGTTGATCAAAAATCCAATGATTATTTAACTTTCCTTCTAATATATATAACACTCTTTCTTGCATTGTAATTTAATCAAATGACTCATTTGTTATAAATATATTAAACGATTTATTGATAGATAAAACATAATAAAGGGGAGTAATCAAATGTTGAACCCGCTTTTGATTGGTTAATCTGGATTTTGAATCTCGAAACTCGAATTTCGTATTTCGAACCTCGAATCTCGAATGAGCCTTTTGATTGGTTAATCTGGATCTTGAATCTCGAAACTCGAATTTCGAATCTCGAATTTTGAATCTCGTATTTCGAAACTTGAATCTCGAATGAGCCTTCTGGGCTTTCGTAGATACACACTGACTTTAACTTCATTTAAAAACTTGGCGATTACATCCTTCACGTCTAAACAAAATCTGTCGACTTCCACGCAACAACAAACGTAGAATTATATAGGATACCGCAAATTATTGAGTCTGAGGAAGGATAAAATGTCAAAGATTTTCTTTATTGTGCTTATGATGCTGTGGTTCATGAAATGTTTCAGTAAGTTAATTCTAGATTTTTAACGTTTATGGTGTGTCTTACAGTGTACATATCGTTATTAGAAAGTTTGGTTCTCTTACACATTAGCAAACATAAATCCGTTTTGTCTGCACCAATTATAATAATTTTTCCTTACAGGATGCCAGAAAATCGTTACCTCTGAAATTGGATCCGATACCTGCATATCATTTTCGAGACCTTCTCTTAGCTATGGAGAAAAAGCGATAATTATAAGAGACGAAGCACAACTTTGTGTAAAATATAGTAATCAAAATATATTACTAGATCCAAATGCTTGGAATAGGATATTTTCTTGCAACGAGAGTAGTTGGCAATTGGCAATTTGTTTCACGAATACCAAGGTCTCTGATGCCGGGGGATTTTATCTAAGCAATGAAGACGGCAATGTCACACTAGAAAAGTATACTCTAAATGTTGAATGTAAGTATTCATATACTATGTATGTACTTCACAGTGTACTTCTGTTTGAAATTCTTATGCATGTAAAGAAAAGGAACACTTCTGGGTAAATATACGTATGCGTTGACCTTTATGACCGATACTGGTTTCTGTCTTTAGAAAAATCTTATCGATATTCGTTCCGGTCGCTGAATTTAGGCCACATGCTTGTAGTTTCTTGTTTCTCAGTTCTATTCAACTGTGTGTTTATATGACTCTACCTCGGTATGTACACATACATCCTTTGTATGAGAGTCCTTACATGATGCCTGGGTAATGGCAATGGGACATATAGCCGAAACTGACCTTCCCACATTCTTTTAAAATCTTTAAACCTTCCTCCCCCATTTTTTTAGCGTAACATAACGCCAATATATACTTTTTTCCCGAGGAATGAACTGCATCAACTCTGCATAGGCTAGCACAGTATCTCTCCCACTGTCACAACAGTTCTATTACCCAGAGATGTTATTGAAAAACAAACGCAGCAATTTTTGCTCGGCATATTTTTGTGACACCTCCAATATCAAGCAACACAAAGTGAATGATTCGTGTCCTCGAACCAAGTGTGCTTACAATGAGGTATAGTTCCGGTTGATTGCGTTCAGTTTTATCAGAATTTATTTATCTGGATTTCCATAAATGTCTTTTATATCAACAGTAAACATACATTTAAGGAAGAACATTGAAGTAAAATGCAAAAGCATGTATATTAAAACATTTTTGTTATGTAATCCTTTGTGTTTTTAGTACATTATATGGCATAATGGATTTGGATATTTAAAACCTGTACATTAAGTCACCTGTAAGTGTACATTAAGCTGACAAAACTCTCAATTCTTAACTTAATCGACAGCGTTTTGTCAACTTAATGTACAAGTAAAGGTAACTTAATGTACAGGTTTTAAATGTTGAAAACAATACATAATTAAAATAGGCAATTAAATTTTTAATTTAACGCACAATCATGCATAAATATCAAACAATTGTATATGAAATGTTCAACAGTATATCGTCTTTGGAAATGACGATTCCAATGCAAAAAAGACACATGTGTAAATCCTGATGCTTAATAACTCTAGAACATCCACATCCAGAAGTTTCTTTATTAAAAAACAAACATCTCATCCTCTTCACAAAATTTGTAAATGAATGCTGGACGTGGTATATCCATTCCATGAATGTTTAAAATATATCTAACAGCAATTTCAATTTTAAAAGAAAAAGGCTTATTTCCAGATGAAATGATAATCTCACTAGACGCACTGCAGGTGGAATCATTTTTGAGACAGAGATCACAAATTTTATCTTTTCATACACTTGCCATCATCTGAATCCCTCATATTTCCATGAATTATTCCATTTACTCTCTGCTGCTATTTATTGTTGGTTCAATTGTAGGATCAAACTGTAATAGATTTGTGGCCCGTTTTTTCTGTTATAAACTGTTTCCTCAAACTTCATACAAGGGGGTCGCCGTTATTGTTCACAGAGAATGTTTCGTATCACAGTGTCCCTTAAATCCTATTTGTTAAAAAAGATTTGCGATAGCTTTTGTCAAAACTTGAACACCAACTTCAGAATCTGAAAACCTACAAGCTTTTGCTTGTGTCTAACTACTGTAGAGTATTTACCACCCTTTGGCCTGTATTTTGGAGAAATATATGTATTACTTTCTCCATCCGATAAGGACATCTTCACTCATGAAGCTTTACATGGGAAGTGGTCCGAAATCAAGTGAGCTATCATTTAAATGTAAATTTACCTGGCACTGTCCATTAAGTTAAACAATACAGCTACTGTTTTCACCCCCCACTCTCTGGACAACCAAGTGTGTTACGTAATCATAGGAAATACATAACCATCACCTGGGACAGTTTATTAAGTTAACAATAGAGAAAATGTTTTAAGTAGGATAAAGTCCTCAAACTGTCCATTCTGTGAGAGAAAAAACTATTCCCGGCCCTTCGGGCCTCGAACAGTTCTTTCTCTCACAGACTGGACAGTTTTCGGACTTTCTCCTTTACATAAAATTAAATTGTTTATACAAGTGAAACGCTTAAAAAAGTGTGTAAAGGTGGACTTGAACAAGGAAACTTAAAATGTTCATTCTGAGTGTCTTTGGTCGTTTTTTAAGGTCACCTGAGTAACTCAGGTGACCTATTGCTATCCGTTTTCCGTTTTCGTCCGTCGTCGTCCGCCGTCCGTTATGTGTTAACATTTGAACATTTTTAGCTTCTTCTCTGAAACCACTGAACCAATTTCAACCAAACTTGGTATAACGCATCTATGGGTAAAAGGGAACATAAATTGTTAATTTTATGGTCCCCGCCCCCCTGGGGCCTGAAGGATGGGGCCAAAACCATTAATATTATTGCAGTCAAAAAATCTTTTTCTTTACTCCTGGACATCAAGCAGGCAAACTGTTGGCATGAATGTAATGAGCTTTGAGTCCTCTACCAAAATTGTGAAATTCATGGCCCCAGGGTCAGGGGTTCTAGTGCTAGGACGGGGCTCTATAGATTATATAGTGAAAATGCATTATTTCTTTGAAAATCTCTGCTCCTGGGTATCAAATAAACTAACTAAGTACATAGTTATGATGAGCATGAGTGCCTCTTCCAAAATTGTGAATTTTATGGCCCCAGGGTCAGGAGTTCTGGTGTTAGGCCGGGGCTCTCTTGATCATATAGTGAAAATGCATTAATTCTTTGAAAATCCTCTTCTCTGCTTCTGTGTATTAAATAAAGCAACTAAATACATTGTTATAATGAGCAGGAGTGCCTCTTCCAAAATTGTGAAATTTATGTCCCGAGGGTCAGGGGTTTTGGTGTTAGGGCGGGGCTCTATTGATTACATAGTGAAAATGCATTTATAATTTGAAAATCTTCTCCTCTGCTCCTGCGTATTAAATAAACTAACTCAGAACATAGTTATGTTGAGCAAGAGTGTCTCTTCCAAAATTGTGAATTTTATGGCCCCAGGGTCAGGGGTTTTGATGTTAGGGCGGGGCTCTATTGATTATATAGTGAAAATGCATTATTCTTTAAAAAATCTTCTTCTCTGCTTCTGGGTATTAAATAAACCAAATAAGCACATAGTTATGATGAGCAAGAGTGTCTCTTCCAAAATTGTGAATTTTATGACCGCAGGGTCAGCAGTTCTTGTGTTAGGGTGGGACTCTTTTGATTATATAGTGAAAAATCATTATTCTTTGAAAATCTCTGCTTCTGGGTATCAAATAAACTAACTCAGTACATAGTTATGATGAGCAATAGTGCCTCTTCCAAAATTGTGTATTTTATGGCTCCAGGGTCAATGGTTCTGATGTAAGGGTTGTTACAAAACAGCCATAGCTACCATTCATGGAGGATGGCAAGGAAGGGTATGTTAGTTCTAATGCAGACTTGTCAAGTTTGATAAAAGAAATATAGTAACCCATGTGTTAGACCTTTATTACCTAATTGGGACTTATCTGCAGCTTTGTTGGCCTTATGCAAACTTCCATTGGAGCCATTAGCAACATGTCATAGAAAGTATTTGAGCTGGAATACAGTGTTCTTAATTGCTATGGCAACGGCAGCTAGAGTCAGTGTATTGCAAGCTCTTTCAATTAATTCTAATAATCTGAAAATTCAATGAACAGGGTGTAGACTTCTCCCTGATTTACAGTTTCTGGCAGAGACACAAAAGGCAAATAAAGCTTGGAAACCTATGTTTATTGTGATGTAAGGGCTCATGACACTTACATGAGACCTCAAGCGCCTTAATAAATGTAAATCCCCTCTTTATAAGATATCCATACTTACCTGAATCCCCCACCTCCCCTTCCAAGGTTATTACTGAGGTGGTTAATTTAAGAGTGTAGTCCCTCGCATAAACTGAGCGGAAGTAGAGTTCCAAGTTGGGGGAGATAACTCTTTTTTAATTTTCTACCAAGATGTCCTGTGCCCTTCTTTGGGCTCTTGATCATCATCAATATTTACGTTAGTATCGTCCTTGTTTGTCACCTCCTCGACCATGCCCAATTCACTATTGTTATCTCTGTTATATCTTTTTCACAGTGTTCCAACATTTATGCTGCCTTTCGTCACAGCGGACAGATTTACATGCCCTAATATAATGTCCTGGACTCTTACACCTTAAACTTGTGAATTTAGGACATGCTCAAAACAAATGTTCACTGGAAAACATAGAGAATACACTTTGATTTGTTCATTATGTAGACGCCTATAGTTATCTTTCTGAAATTTTAATGTATACGAAAATGAGTTCATGTTTCCAGGCAGTTTGATTTTGCATATCTTGCGGCGTCAGCTATCGTCGTTCCAGGATAGAACCTTCTGTTAACTGGGGATAAACGAGCAACTCCCATGGATCGTAAGATTTCAATATCACTGTCGTCAATATAAGCAGGCAGGTTTATGAGAACTGGGTGCTACCTCGTGAGGTACATGTATTGCAAGGGAGCTTTTGGAACACAAGCTAACAATTAAATTTGTTTTTTTGTTATCATTATTTGATTAATTTTTTTTTCAGACTGGAGAGCAATCTCACGTTGAACCAGGGTTACATTGAATTCAATTTTACAATTATTTTTGTGTAGAAAAAAATAATAAAAGAGTGTAAAATAGATCAATCATTTTTATCGATTCCAGATCCCCCAAATGTGTCTACAATGAATGAACAGAAGGTAATTGAAGGTGACTATTTTTCCGTCTTGTGTAACTACACCGAGGGAAACCCACCATCTACAACAGTGTATTGGACCAAGGACGATCCATACTTCAGACAAAATCAACGACATCTCACTATAACAAATGTTAAAAGAAGAGATTCGGGGACATATGTGTGTTTTGCAGAGAACACTTACAGTAGCGGAAGGAGAGGAACCTCCAATAATACAATGGAGCTAGATGTACAGTGTATGTTAAATGATAGGTTACATGTATATAATATATAGTCAACAACAACAAAAAAGAAACGCATATTCATATTAAACATGATAACCTAAGTTTTCAGTTTAAACCTTATTTTTTAAAAGTGATGTTTAAAAGTGTTGTGATAACAATAGGCCCATGGGCCACATTGCTCACCTGAGTAGCTTTGAACATGCTGTTATTTACCAAATCCCCCCCCCCCTTGTAATACATATCATGACCCAACCCTAACACATTGGTCATAATTTGGACAATTTAAAATCTACATTACACACGGATGCTTCCACACAAGTTTCAGCTTTTCTGGCCCAGTAGATCCTGTGAAGAAGATTTTTAAAGTTTTTTCCTATACATTTCTATGTAAAGCTTGTGATTCCTAATGTGGCCTTGCCCTACCCCGGGGGTTATGATTTGCATAATTTAGAATTTACACTATACTAGGATGCTTCCACATAAGTTTCAGCTTTTCTGGCCCAGTGGTTCTTGAGAAGAAGAATTTTACATTTGTGTCCTATATATTTCTATGTAAAACTGGTTCCCTGTTGTGGCCCCGCCCTACCCCGGGGGTCATGATTTGAAGAATTTAAAATCTACACTACCCAAGTATGCTTTCACATACGTTTCAGCTTTTCTGGCCCAGTGGTTCTTGAAGAGATTTTTTAATGACCCCACCCTATTTTTGTCTTTTCTTGATTATCTCCCCTTGTGACAAGACTTGTCCCTTGATTTTAACAAATTAAACTCTCCTTTACCCAATGATGCTTTGTACCAAGTTTGGTTAGAATTGGCCCAGAGGTTCTTGAGAAAAAGTGGAAAATGTGAAAAGTTTACAAACGGACGGACAGACGGACGACGGACAAAATGTGATCAGAAAAGCTCACTTGAGCTTTCGGCTGATTTTTTAATGACCCCACCCTATTTTTGTCTTTTCTTGATTATCTCCCCTTGTGACGAGACTTGTCCCTTGATTTTAACAAATTAAACTCTCCTTTACCCAAAGATGCTTTGTACCAAGTTTGGTTAGAATTGGCCGAGTGGTTCTTGAGAAAAAGTGGAAAATGTGAAAAGTTTACAAACAGACGGACGACGGACAAAATGTTATCAGAAAAGCTCACTTGAGTTTTCGGCTCAGGTGAGCTAAAAATCAAACATGTCCGATGTTGCAAGTCGAAAAGCTGATGTCATTGACGTCACCTCCAAATTCTAGGGGGCATAACGTCTTAACCAATCCATATGTCCATTGCGACGTCTCAACGATAGTGGATTTCCAATGTATGGATGTCGTTCACCAATACTAGCCCCTCTCAGTCTCTTGCGAACAATTTGTACACTTTATGCTGATTTCTTCTGTTTGTACAGCAGTTCGGAATCGA